ACTCCGCCCATTTTCTCTCCCCTAAGTTCAGTGCATTTATTGAAGCGCAACTGTTAGAAACATCGTTGGTAAATTTTACTTTCCAAAAGCAACACAAATGAAGAAACGCAACTTTCACGGCCATTATTATTACAGAAGCAAGTATGAGGGTTGAATTTCGAGGTCAGAATCAAGAACGGTAGTTTATTATTCGCTAACTATTCTACCAATCTCTCACCATATTTCTACGTAATTACTGGAGAAACGCAAGTTATTATCGGTTCCCCTGTTCACTGAACTACTCTTTCGCCATTTCAATATAAGGCGAACAGAACCAATTTCCTGTAGAAATGCAGTTAACTGCAGATAACCCCAACGGAGATGTGCAGATCAGTAGCTAACATCTCCTCAGGTCGCAGCACGCATTTACCTCGAAAGAAATTTTGGCTTGTGTAAGAACTCAGGGTCCCCATTATTCAACTTCAAACAATACACACTACTGACTTTTACGAGTAGAACATTTTCGTAAGTCTTCGCACCTCACATGAGGCAACATTCTTGAGTGCGACTAGTGTCCACCCTGTTTTCTGAACTTCGTTCCGCGTAGTTTATAACTTACGGCAGACACTTAAACCACTGCGGAAAAACTTGCGACCTATAACTTCGGTACAAGTAAAGGTGAAACTTAATGATGGAATTAATGAAAAATTTTGCCAGAAAATGGCAATCTGCAAGACAACTCACTCGGCCTTAAACTAATGCATCATTATCAGACAGCAATTCGCAGTCTTACTGTTACATGAGAAACGTCGCACAAAAACAAAGTTCGTTAGAGTCTGAATTGCTACCAATACGTTTTTCTAGATCCCAATCGCACAAGGACGCATTGACTTAATTGAAGCTCAATTCTAATAAAAAAAAAGTCGCCCGTTTAGGGTAAACTAAAAGCAGCCAACTGAAACTCATTGCGATTCTTCAAAGAAGCGAAACACATAATAACTCGGCATGCAAGGAAGTTTCGATCTCTATTCTCCTATTCCAAGTCTGAGAGGGCCATTTTCAGCGAAATCCATTGACAAATCGCTGCAGTATTGGTGGCTAGTACGATGCAATAGTGATCGTACAACTGTTGCGTTATTTCCGTATCATCCAGCATCTCCAATTGACTGATCCTAGAAGGTGCAAAAACGACAAACTGTGATGAAAGTGTACGAACCATGCGAGCATTGGAGTAAAGACGACAAATGTGTACCTTGATATGGCGTCTTGGGGAAAGGAAGAAAAAACTTCGTTGATGGTCCATGCACGCACTTCGGCCCAGCCATTATTTATGAATCTGCAACACAAAATGTCATGTTATTTTATAACGATTGATTTTTGAAATATAGTAATATTTCAAGAACTGTGTTTGCTAAGGTTTCCCAAGTAAAATGTAAAATTCTCGAAGAATCTTAATCGAGTATTTGGTATTCAATCCGTAACTGCAGACCACAATGTTTTTGTGTTTTATGCAAGGTTAACGCGAAATTGGAATCGGCTCAAGCGATCCGATGACTGCAAGAAATCCAACTCATTCGAGAACCTAGTTTGCCCTTTTCTGCACATAAGAGCACTACCGAGGAAAACGAAAAAAACATAGAAAACCACCTTTTGAGAATGCAGCAGCTTGGGATTAAGTCAGCGGTTCAACACAAAACGTAAGGCGCAATTGTCGACTCTAAATTACAACTTAAGAATTGAGCAAAACATGTTAATTGTTATGTCCTTCGACGTCTACTAATGTTCTATGTAGAATATGTTTGTAATTCAAGCTTTGCAAGGGCCCGTAGGTTAAATCCGAAACCACTAGCAATGCAGGATGCTGCGATGTGTGCGATAAAATAACATCTTTGAGTCTACGCAGATGAATATTGGGCATTGTTTAACATCATGTTAACTGAGATATTTATTGGAGTAGCGAAAGCATATAACTGTCCACTTAAGCCTCACCGAAGTTCATGAAGTTCTTAGACATAAAAGGTATCATTCGGCATGCATACACATCATGAATTTATGACCTAAACAAAAGACCCCCAAATGTGGTGAGTGGGTCGCTACAGTACGTAGAGGAGTAGAATACTGAAGACAGGTGGTTAAGACCAATTCGATTCAGACGATAAAGACAAAGAGGATTATCATTTCGTCAAGTCAACGAATATTCGAGAAAAAAGTGACGTAAGAGTTTAGTAAGTACATCTTACCAGTATGTAACCACGTTTTTCGAATTGAAACGGGCTACCTTTATGGTTCTCATTAGGTTATTTTCCCATGGTCTTATTTCCCATGGCTTTACTATATTTTGTTTACTACTTTATGAAAATTAATGGGTTAAATGCGTACCGAGACCTTTGCTCCTCCAGCGATCCACATGCTGCGAGACCAGGTAATTCACAGGATCTGTCACGGAAGTGACTTTGCATAATTTCACCGAATTTGTCCTGCATATTGACCTGATAAGCAGGAATGGGACAGATGAATAATCCTACCGGCGATCAAAATTGGAATTAGACGTAGTTCGATAGTTACATTTGTTAATCAAGATTTCATAATGTCCTTGGTAGCCACGTACCTGTTCGTAGTTTAAGAAGGCAGCCTGTCGGAATTTATTTGAGAGAGCAGAGAGAAGAGAATTCGAGAACTCAGTAGGAATATAGACGAGGACACATTCAGCGAGAAAAAGGGTAGGAAGGGCAGGTGAAAGGGATGGCCCATCAGAGGAGTCACACAGCAAACTAATTAACGAAGAAGGGGATGCCTTGAGGTCAAAGCTAAGTAAGTGATAACACCCAAAAGAGATCCTATCCTTTGGTACAGCAGATGGTGGAAAAGCTGAATCGCCTGTTAAAATGTGAGAATTTTAGTAGGATTCAGCATACATTACCAGTAGGCAAAGCGGCTTGAAGTACTTTATTTCGCTGCAGTGTAAAAATCTTCTTTCTGACATTTCCAGGAAGATCCAGCTCAACGTAGACCTTGGGGAGAAGGTCTTTATCTTTTAGCCGAAAGAAAAGAGTGTCCGAACCAGCACCAAGATTTACGATCTGACACACACGGTTGCATTCCTAACGCTTTCAAAATCGTGATTCCGATAAACCTACCTGAATAAAGCGATTTACTATTGCTTCAAACGCTTTAACACGAACATAATATCCACGGCTGATTTCTGGTGTTGACGAAGATGGAATTGGACAAAAAATTTTAATGTATGGATCACTCCAGTAACCGACTCTTACGGCATAGGCCTTCGTAGCAGTGGCTTCGTCATTAGTGTACTGGATGCTTTCAGAAGACATAGACTCCATTCGAAGGCCTCAAGGCTATAGCATTGAATAGAAACTATGTGAGAGAAGTTAAAACATTACATTTGCCGACAAGTGTCAAAATCT